TATTAACATATCAGATAATATCCTTCATTTTATTACGCATTTAATCCGGATGTAAATTTTTAAATACATTCATCAGTTTATAGATACAAATCTGTAAACACGTACAATTCACAAGTTTTGCTTATTGCTTTACCGCATTTGTAAATTCTGATCTTCTCTGCTAAAAGGATTATATTCTTGGCAAAAACTACAGCCTACATTCAGAAGACACTCATACAAATCAAAACATCAATACTTTATACAACAGATAGAAATACATATGACGCTACTTTATGTAGCAAATACACGATTATCATATCCTTAACAAACTGACAAACACATCTTAATGCTTAAAAACCATACGCCAAACACCAAACTAACAAGCACATTTTCCCAAACTCTAACTCCTTAATCACTTTTGCCACCCATGTCACTAGAAGATGGCGGACTGGGAAAGTAATACTTTTCTTCTAACACTTCCAGCCTCATTCTATCGGCAATCAAGCCCAAGATAGGATAGCCTCTTCCAGTCCTAAGCGCAGCTTCCAAAACTGAAGCCCAATCATGATGCCTATAAAGCTCTTTAAACAAATCACATAATTCATTTTTCAGCAAAACATTTGCCACCTGAGCTCGTGCAACCGGTTCTGCCGGACGATTTCGACACCCATTTCCCATAGGATAAGCTGCTCCACGAACAACAGCCAGCTGATTAACCACTTCGTCCACCTCTGGATAATGTAATTGAACAGTGGGAAATCTTCCGCTTCCGCTCGCCATCTGCAGACACTAACTATCTACAGACAAGTACCAAATATATACTACTTCTCACTATATGAGCTTCAACTACGTAAGGAACAAACAATACTACACCCATGAATTTTCTGTACTTTTTACCCTGCTCCCATCCTGCAAATTACACGTCTCATACCACCTGCACACGGAAACAACTAGCTGCCATCCAAATGTCAAGACCAGATATATTCTAACACCGTCAACTAGCTGCCTTTGTATTGTAATAAAACTGTTAATAAATTTAATAAACAAACATATTATAAACATATAAAATATAAATACTAATATATAATTTAATTTAATAAATATAAAATATAATACTAAAATATACCAACACTAATCTATATATAATTCAATAAACCTATATACAAATATAATATATACATATAATTTAATAAATTTACATATGCACAACATTAATTTAATATATAAACATACAAATTAAGCATTAATAATAATTAAGTATTAATTATTCATCTATCTAAACCAAAACCTTTTTTTTCTTAAATAACTTTTTAAAACCATTTTATTCAACATACACAAACAAAACTTTAGCACAATTACACTCTCTTGCCTAGCGCCCGCGCATTGCGCGGGACAGCTCCCTAGTGTATATATATATATATATATATATATATATATATATATATATATATATATATATTGCGTTTATTTCAACTAATAAAGCGTGCGAATCTATTGGAATTAGGAGCATAATCGAGAACAACTGCATGCAATGCAATGCGGGTTGACTACGCTATGAAATTACTCATTAACGTACTCAAGGCTTAAAAAATTTGTAGTCACACTCTACTCTAATCGTTAAATACATTTGAACATGATTAACCAGCTTGTACTCACTCTCTTCTCAAATCTTTGTTTAAAGTATATATATATGAATGCTACATTGAATGCAAAAAAGAAGTAACGCCTAGTCAATTTTTCCTGTAACATATTTAATTTCTTGGGTACACCGTATTGAATTTCCAAAAAAAAAAAGGTTGCAGTGCATCTTCTTCCAGATACAAAAAAAGATTTATAGTAGGTGTTCATGTTGATGTTGTAACTACTAAAAGCACAATTTCCAGTTTCAAAGCATATTTATGGAGTAAACAAGTCACTGTCAGCAGCACCATTAAAGTACAAACTCATTCTGGTTTTGTAGTTTGTCTAGTTTATTGTATTCTTTTTTTCATCTAGCAAGAAAGAATAAAATCCATTGTGATTTTTCGCTTTTGGAGGGATATATAATTTAGGTCATTGTCGTCTATTAAAAGGGGGAATTGCAAGAATATAGTGTCTCCACCACAAGAGTGGGGAGAAAACTAGGGATGGCAATGGGGGCGGGTGCCCGCGGGGGGCTCTCGGGGCGGGGGGAAATTTTTTCCCCCCGTTTAGAAATGGGGCAGGGGGCGGGGGAGTGTACCCCCGCCCCGCAACTCGCAAAAAATATATATATAATTATATATAATATGTAATTTAATTAGTTATAAACTTATGATAATGATATTATTAGTTAGATGTATTATATAATGTATATTAGTGTATGTAATATAATTGATATTATCAATTATATGAATAATTATACATGTCTACTAATAGAATTTATTAATTAGTTATACTAAATTTACTAATATATTTATACTAAATTTCTAATTACAGTTACTAGAATAACACTTTTTTCTCAAAAAAAAAGAAGCAAAAACACAATAATGAATTAGTGATTGTATTTGTACCAAAAGTGAAAACTTGACTATTTTAGTTGTATTTATTTCATCATGTTGGATTGTATTCAAATAACTTTTGTTTGATTGTTTTTATGAGTTTCAATTATAAAATTACAATGAATAATAACCTTGGTGATGTGTTGATATTTTAGTATTTGATTATTTATTAAAATTTAACTATAATAAAAGTGCCCCGCTGGGGAAGCGGGGCGGGGCGGGGGGAGCGGGAGGCGGGGGATGGGGCGGGGGGCGGGGGGGATTAATAGGCAACGGCAACCCCACCCCGTTGCCATCGCTAGAGAAAACATCCTTATTAAGTGAATTTATCGCTCTGTGTTGGAACGCATCTCTTGCATTTCCAACCAAGAGGAAAAATGATATCAAGACTGGGGTTTACCAGACTAATTAATAAACCCCTTCTTGCAAGCAAGATCTTCTGTAAATATATTTGTTGGGAGAACATTTTCTAGGCTCTTTTTTCTTGTATCAATAATAAGGAAGAAGGAAGAAATAGTACTGAATATTTCTAATACGCTATCTACCCATAAAAATTGAACAAATTTCGACGAGGGCCGTCAAATAGTTTAGAGGTCATGAGATTTCGATATAGAAAATCCATCTATATATATATATATATATATATATTTCTATAGAAAGAAAAAGTTAGGAATCTTCAACTTATTCTGTAGAGGGGAGAGCACCGTAAAGAGATGTCATGGGTTTAATACATAGTTATTAAACTCGGCCCGGAGAGGAGACCGGCGAAGGAGGTGGGTCAACGGGTCACTGGTTCAACCGGTGGGTGAGTGGTTGAACCAGTGGGTCACTACATATATTTAAATATTATATTTTATAAATTTTGATGTAGGATATATGAGATAAATTGTAATAAATAATGTCATAACAAATATTCATTTAATTTAATTTGCTATAGAATATTTAATTCATATAAGAATCAACAAAACATAAATTTAATTAGTAATCCACCAAACTTCAAGTATAGATGTTTACTGTAATTATCTAGGTTATTTACAAATTTTAAATGCAAAAAAAATTTTAAAAACAATATTTGTCTTTAAAATAAATTATGTAATATGTTATTTTTGAAATCTATTTTATAATTTATAGAATATAGGGGTCATAAGTTTTATTAAAAGATTCCAAATACATTTGTTTTGGAGAGTACTTTAAAAAAATAAAGATGAAATTAACAAAAAATTCATATAGCATAAGAATGGCCATTAATGAACAAGTGACAAAGTGGCCTGGTGGTGAGCTACGCACAAACAATACAATACCGAAGGTCAAAGTTCGAATCCAAGCACCGGTCGAACCGCCGGGCCGAGGCCGGGTTTAATAGCTATGGCTTAATATTTGCCTAAACCAGTTAAATTTAAAAAATGATCACTTCTACTTTTGACAAAGATATCATGATCATCTTCCAAAAAGCGCACAATTTCCTTGTCTGCCATAGCTGCACGGATGAAGAACTAATCATTTGGCTAAAGAATGTTAATCGCCTGTGCAGTGAAACTGAAACTTTCCTGTACATAATCAAATTTCTCTCTCGAATTGCCCAGCCATTATGCCCCATCATGCCAGAATCAGAGGCTTGTCCTGTTGGTTGATTTTTGTTCAGTTGTTCTTCATGTAATTTTTACCACTTTTAACGTAAACTCGGACAACTTTAGTATAATCACAATTGTGATTTTTTTTCTTCAATTTAATCGTATGAGTTGACAAACTGACATTTATTTATATCAAAGTTATACTACTAATTTACCCCATACTACACAGCAACATTCAAGTATTGGAAAGGCCGGTGTTCTAAAATGTGGATCGATCCTCAATTGTGATCGTAAGTAAGTTGGTGGTTGGATCAATCAAGTGGACGTGGTTCTAAAATGAGAAAACAGAGACGAGGACCATTTGCTTATTAACTTGTTCTGGTCCCTGGAATGAGACAGACATAAGATTCTATGCCTTTCAACTTGGATATTAAGAACATGGCTTCGCGTCAAGATCTTGAAACTCGTTGTCTGATGTAAGCGCCAGCAACTGTTCTTTCACATGTACAATTTGTATTCTTTTCTACCAGCAAATTAAAAGAAAGTTAACGAGTAGTAGTTAGAAAATCCATCTCTCTCTCTCTCTCTCTCTCTCTCTTTAAAAAAAAAAAAAAGTTAGAAAATCCATAATCTAACAAGCTGTAGTATGCACTTTCGAAAACAGTAGTAGTAATTTATGGTTGTCGAACAAATTAATTGTCTTTTGGTCTTTTTCCCGGATGGATGGAATTGGTGACTAACAACTCACTACTACAAAAAAGACCTTTAGTCACACACTTAATATGACATTTTCCTAAAAGTGTCACAATAGAAAGTTAACGTAACATGCAGTAGGGAACGTCATTAAAGTGACAAAGAAAATGACGAGAACGACGTCGTGTCACTCTAACTTGTCCAAATAGAAGTAAAAGTGAAAAACAAAAGCGGGAAAGGGAATGGCGCTATGCTTCAGCGCCATTTTTTGGGGGAAAAATTCTAACTACTCCAATGAACCCAATGAACTTTACTCTTTGTTCATCCTAGTTCTCTCTCCTAAAACCTTCGATCACGTTAACTCTCTCTAAAAAAAATCAAAATCCTTCACCCCTCTCACAACCAAATCCCTTGTTTCTTTCCCTTTCTTTCACCCGATATTTAATTCTCCCCAATTTGAAGACAAAAATGTAAATATTTGAGATCTGTCAGGCCCGAAGTGCAATGGTGGAGCGACGGTGTTGATTGGAAATCGCTAACAAGTCTCAGGACTTGTTCTTCTACTTACAACAATATCTGAAGGAAGATTACTACCAGGTAATCTATACATTTTAGACAAAATTGATAGCTTGTTTTTTTCTTACTCTATTTCTTCTCCGAGGACTGTGTGGGAAATGGGGCGGAGCAAGGTGGGTGACGGAGGGGGTGCCCAGGCGGTGCCTTACTAAAAATCATCACCCAATTCGACATTGATTTTGGGTGCTACTCTTTTTGCCCCCTATAACTAAAATTTTAATTGGTTTTATTCCTCTCCCACTCTTCTCTGTTAATCTAACCTAGCTTCCCCTTTTTCTAGCAATTAGAATGGGCTAAAATTTTCCCTTTCAATTGCAAAATTTTGCCATCCTTTACTCTTCTTTTTTGGTATGTTCAATCAAACAAAGGAATGGGCATCATCTTTTTTACATCATTCATCATGGGCCAGACATGAATGAAATCGAGTACCTAAAAGCAGAAGCAAAGCATTAGTGTAATATAGATTCAACAACACCAATCATGGAAAGCAAGCACCCAAATAGTAGCTAAAGTCAACACCTCAAGCTTTATGAGCACCATTTACCAATTTTTCTTTTGTATATGAGATCATTATGAGTGCAAATATTTCCTATTTACAATGCCAGTCTCGCAAGTTTCATGTAGTCATAGTGGGAAAGATTTCAGCAAATGTTTGCAAAGATACTTCTGCTCTACTGTTTGGACCTGCACTTTGCATTCCTCTGAGAGGGGCAAAAGATAGCATTCACCCATTGTAAATGATTGAGCTGCAAATAACCTTCTAAGTTTACGGTTTGGTTTGTCATAAGTGTTAAGATGTGTAACTCTTGACTCTTGAATAATTGAGTTTATTCAAGTACTTATAATCAATGGTTTAAGGCATTCAACTTATCAGTTTGGGCATTTAGCTTGTTATTACTGTTTGGTTATTTCTTGTCAGTTTTAGCATTTAACTTGTTATTACCTCCTAGTTATTTCTAAGCAGAGCCATCACACATGGTTTCTAGGTGAGTTGCTTTTGACATTCTCATTCATAATTATATGCCCCATTTGCCTCTGTAGGTTACTAACGCTCTTACACGTGTTGGCCTGGAATCATCAAATCTTATTGTTGGTATTGATTTCACCAAAAGCAATGAGGGGACAGGTTTGGTTTCATCTATTTTACAAAAAAATAAGTCCACATAAGACATGGTTGACCTGATTTAGATTTCCTTGTACTAGACATCGTATTGAACTTGATATAGAATGCTCTGCCCATAGGATTCTAATGCAAAGTGCATCTTACATACATAGCATATATCAAGTAGTGACTAAGTCAAGCTTATTCCATCAATGCAGTTTCAAGTTTGTAGCGGCCATCATCTTCGATTCCATCTAGCGAGCACTGATCGTTGATTCCCTTTCCACTTGGAGCAAATTAGAGTTGTTGATAACCAAAATTATACATTAAGTTTCTGCTACTCTTAGGTTACCAATACATTAAAGTTCGTGGCAGTTATTTTCAATTGGATAGCACTTCTATTTATTGATTAGTTGGGTTGCTAATATTTTGTCCAAGTTCTCTATCTCAAATTGATATTGGCTACATTATTGGACTAATTTTGAATTCCGTAGACTAGTATTCTTTTGTGCCTACCATCTGTTCGATAGCTTGTGCCTTACAATCTAGAATTGAACTTTTGCTGTCTTTCCTTTTGATATCATTCTGTTTTGATACTTTTGGATTAGTTCTTATTACTCAACAGTCTAGAACACCTGGATATGTGAACATTCTGTTTTGATATGCCTAGAACACTTGGATTAGTTCTTACATTCTGTTTTGATACTTTTGATCGCTTTATTGTTGTAATATTCCATGAGTGATTTGTGTCTTCTATTAATCTCGTTGAAATTAGTTTTCTTATCTAAGTAAATGTTTCATGCAAAAATCAGTAATAGTTTAGGTAGAATTATCTTGTAGATGCTAACGAAGCTTTTTTTTTTTTATAATTAGAATCTATGTGAACATGGATAAAAGATGGATGAGTATGTCACGATCAAGTGATGAGTATAAAGCTGGTTTAGAAGATTTACTTGATTTTGCATTTACGAATGGAAGTATAAGGGAGATGATTTTATGCCCATGCATTAGGTGTGGGAATGGGGTATTTGTCAGGAGAGAGCAGGCCAAATCACACTTGATATGGAAAGGATTTATTAAGGGATATGCTCAATGGTTAGCTCATGGGTAGGAATGATGTGTTTGCAAAAGTAATGGGGGAAGAAAGGGGTGGAAGAGTTCGTACATATGGTTTAGGAGTTACACAAGCTGATTTGCGGGGTGATATACCATGTCGTTCAATATGTTTTTGCTTGGTTATGGAACAAAGCGCTGTGATGTCAAAAATGGAGCGAAGAATTTAGCAACTAGAATCAATTCAACAAGGAAGATCACAAGGACAAAGTTCACCATCTCAGCAAAGATCTACTTCACAGTCTTCAAATGCTATTCTTCGGCCGATAAAGGTAATAAATAGTTCAATTATGACTTTCTTTAGATGCTGCGTTCACAAATGGTTTTCATGAACATGTTCGTAATTGCTATATGTTACTTAATTGTTGAGATTCTTGTTTTGGGTACCATTATTGATTGTAATGGACTGCACTTTGGTTTTGGTACTTGTTGTGGCTGTCATTTTGGGTTGTTTATTGCGGTACTATGTATTGAAGACTTGCTATTGCTTGGCCAATAAACCTAGTAATCTTTTTATCTTATCTATATCATTTGTTTAACTTAGTTTTTATTTATTTTCTAACATTAAAACTGTAAAAGAAGAGCTGTAGATGTGATTTGTAACTCCTATTTCTTGGTTTATGACACTTGTAGGTGAATCTTGAAGAAAACTAAAGGATCCTTGGGTGATTTGGCTATTTTTTGAAGACATTGTCAAGGCATTTTTTGTTGAACTCTTGTTGAACTATTGTTTCTTTGATATGTATTGGCAATGCTACAGCAATACTCATAACTGTTGAAAAATCTCTGAATTAGCATGTAATTTGTTGACATAGCACTATGTAAGTTGCTTGGATGATGTACTTTTGCACCAGTTTGGCTGATTGTATTGCACTGATTACTATGAAAACGTAAATCACTTTAGTTTTCCTTTATAAGGTGGTACTAATAACTTTATTATTCCAAAAATTAGAGTCTACATTGTGCAGGCAGGATGAAATGTGATTTCTACTTTTGGGTATAAAAATCCGAATGGTATACAGGGCTAATGTAATATGATGTATTGACACTTAAAAGTGTCACCACTTCGATTTTTGCGGTTCAAAATATTCACAAAATTTCATGTTAACAAGTGTCAGAACAACCTAATCTAGTTACACCATAAAAGTGTCATAATATTTCATTCTACTTATACTGCAAATGTGTCATAATATCTTATTGTACTTACATAATAGAAGCGTCAAGATAGATCCAATTTATGGCAATTAAGAGTATCACTTTAGATTCATATAACAGTAACTCTTCTCTAGCATTTCTTGTCATTTTAAAGTGTCATTAAAACGATAAATAATGACGTTTACAAATGCTAACAGAACTATAAATTATGACTCCTCTGACTGTCATAAAACTTATAGTGACGCTGGAATGGGCGGCGTTTCTAGCAGAGCGTCATTATAGATCAAACGTCATTACATTGAGTTATAATGACGCTTTTAAATGTCATAAAAGGACATTTTTGTAGTAGTGACTGGCTATCTATCTATCTATCAATCTAAAGCATGAGCATTAGTATTTTGTTTCTCGGTTCATTGGAGGGGGGGTTGGGTTTGAATTTATAAGTCCCTGAGAGCTCCTTAAGAGTTGCCGGCTTTTGAGGTGTCTTCTGGGAATAAGGTTTACAGGCAAAAGTCTTACCGTTTCGGTAAAGAAAACAAGTGACTAGCACTTAATAGCCTAATTGAGAAGATATGCGAAATGAAGCACATGGGCTGACTGGGTTCAAATTGTACAAGCGTGAGGCCCACTGCAGATGGATGTGGAAGAAGATGGGAGGAATGCGGATTTCTTCATGGCTCAAAAATCTTTTTTCTTTGCTTTAGTACGAGTCAAAAGTTGGAAGCATGATGTTACAACTGCTTATAGTTATATCTATCTAACAAAGAGGAAGTAGAAAAATAACTTTGAAATACCTCCCAGGCCAGGATAAAGACAGAAACTTACTACTAGTACTGCAAAGTAAGGGCCTGTTTGGCACCCTAGTTTTTTTACCAAGTTTTTTAGCTACTAGTTTTTTAACAACTTTTGCTACAAGAACCCCAAAAAACTTTTCAAAGTTTTTTACCTACACACTTCAAAAATCTATACACAAAAAATTTCTCAAAAACTTTTCTTCCTCCCTCACCCAACCCACCACACCAGACACCGCCTCCACCGCCTCTCCCGGCGCCGATCACCTATTCCGGCGCCGCCGGTAACCTCAAAATTTTTTTTTGAATTTTTGAGTCCCTCACCCTCAAAAATTTATTATATATATTATATATTTATAATATAATATATTTATATATTTATTTAAACATATTATAAATATTTTATTTTATTTAAAATATATTTTTATATATTTATATAAATATTATATACCATATAAATTAATATTAATATAAATATGTAATTATACATTTATATAAATATTATATATTATATATTTAATAAATATAATACATATTATATATATTACACATTTATGTATATATATTTATGTATATTTATATACAATTATATTATGTATTATGTATAACATAATACATTATACATAATATACATATAATATACATTTATACATTTATATTAATTATATTAATACATTTATACATAATATTATATATTTATATATTTATAATATATTAATTTATATATTTATATAATATTCATTTATAATAATATACAATTATTACATTTGTAAATATATTTATATTATGTATTATGTATAATATAATACATTTATATATTTTTATATAACTATATAAATATATTTATTTATAAATGTATTATAAATGCATAAATATATATAAATATTTAAACAATAAAAATTATAAATTATAAACAATATTAATTATACATTTATACATAATATTAATACATTTATACATTTATATTAATTATATTAATACAGTTATACATAATCATCATATATATTTATAAATTTTAATTTATACATTTATATAATATTCATTTATAATATATACATTTATATTAATTATACATTTATACATTTATAAATATATGTATATTATGTATTATATATAATATAATACATTTATATATTTTTATATAAATATATAAATATATTTATAAATATTTATAAATGTATTATAAATGCATAAATGCATATAAATATTTAAACAATAAAAATTATAAATTATAAACAATATTAATTATACATTTATACATAATATTAATACATTTATACATTTATACATAATCATCATATACATTTATAAATTATAATATATTCATTTATATAATATTCATTTATAATTTATACATTTATATTAATTATACATTTATACATTTATAAATAGATGTGTATTACGTATTTTATATAATATAATACATTTATATATTTTTATATAAATATATAAATATATTTATTTCTAAATATTTATAAATTTATTATAAATGTATAAATGTTTAAGAATATAAAAATATAAAAATTATAAATTATAAAATACTCAAAAATATGTTTTAAAAATACCTCTAAAAATAATCCAAAAAACGTCTACAGTAACATTTCAAAAACTTCTACAAAAAAGTTTTCACCTTACAAAAACTTCTACAAAATTTTTTCAAAAACTTCTACAGTGCACTACAGTAAAGTTTTAGACAAACTCCAAAAAAACTCAGGTTCCAAACAAGCCCCAAGATAGCAACACATTAATTCAAGACCATAAGTTGCTCCAACTCTAATAACAGTTCACGAGATTATTCATAAATTTCTTACTATCGTACGTAAAGTTGATGGGCTGAGAATGAAAACATGCCAAAGAAATACGGGGGAATTATTCAAAGAAAACCAAACAAAGACGAAAGCCATATATCGGTACAGGTTGACGAGCACTTAATATGGAAAAGGCGGTGACACTTTCCTACTAACTAACCAGCTGAGTGATACTTCTCAGCTATGTTTTCAGAATCGGACCGGATAGTGACTCTGCCGATGTCAGGGGTCAGGGATCAATGGGTTCGACCGGGGGTCGATAGGGGTCGAACCGGATGACGTCATAAATAAAAATTATTTAAAAATTAAAATATTATATATATAATATCTAATAATATATTGATATTAATAAATGTACATTCATATATATTTGATGTTTCAAATATATTTAACAAAAAAATACAAAGAAATTAGAACAATCAAGTAGCAATTTATATTATTTAATAAATATTAACAAGTTTAGAATTAAAATTGTGAATTTAATTGAAAAATAACATTAAATTTTAGGACAATATTTATAAAGTATCAAATATTTGAGGTATATGAATAAGTTTTAACAATTTAGGGGGTCAAAACATAATATTTAAAAGTTTAAATTTTTTTTAAAAAAATTACTGTTGAACCGGAAAAATCGATTTTTTTCCGATCAAACCCGATTTTTGACCAGCTTTGACTGAGTTTTAAATTCCCGATTTTTTAATATGACTTGAACCGGCTACCTGGCCGGTTCTCGGTTCGACCGGTTCGACCGGCCGGTCCGGTCCGAGTTTTAAAACAGAGCTTCTCAGGGGCAGGCCGTCCCATTCAGATATCTAACTTAACTTTAAGTGGGCAGTGGATGTAGTAGTAGGCTGAGAAAATTGGGAGGTAAAAAACATAGAGATTATTGAGAGTTTTCCCAGAGATGTGACTCTCACTAGTGAAAGGTCACACATGCAAGGGGGCAACATTTTTGAGAGGCCACGAGCAAGGTTATTAATGGGATGGGATGTTCCTTGCTGGCTTTGCCTGTGTGGATCATGAGACTTGATAGCTTCATCATTTTTTATTTTTCACTCGGTCCCATATACCTCCCTTCCCTACTTGAAAAGCACCATATATAGCCACAACATACCTGGGGTTAAACCCTAAATTCAGGCTTAGTTTTCCATTCTTTGATATAAGCATGCGGCACTATGCCACAAAAAAATTTTGTTTTGGATGGTGTATTATTTGTTAAAAAAATTATTTGTCGCATCATAGTAGCATTTTTTTTAATGATTTTTTAAATCTTTCCGTCTGCCCTTTTATGCTACTACGTACTACACTACGTCATATCCTAAAAAGTGCTGCAGTATTATCCAAAAAGAACCAGTATATGAAAAAAAAGAAAAAAAAAACTGGAATCCCACTAAAACTTCCCTCCGATGAGAAAAAAAAAGCTATAGTGAAGAATGAATAGGCCATCTCTAATCCGATTGGTACATATCTTTGTCGGTTTAAGTCTTAATCATCCATATCTATAGTGAAGAATCTTTCTAATGCAAGGTTAATTCGATTCTACCAACATATTATCTAGTTGGCTGGCTAGCAGGGCTCTTTATACTTTATAGTGGCCAATTTCGTAATGTCCATTGACAAAAAAAACAAAAAAACAAAAAAAATCTTTTTTTTTTTTTTTCAAAACCTATCAATATGGCTGGAATCAAAGCTTTTAAAGCTTCAAATTTAGGCCGTGGACCCCATCCAGCAAAGTCCAGCAGAAGGGAGAAAGAAGGAAAGAAAATTGAAGAAAGCAACAGAGATCTTGCAAAGTTCACAAATGATCGAAGTGTCGTCACGATCATGCCGCTGAATTTTCCTTCGGAGAGTAAAGGAATAATCTCAATACAACAATTGTAAGAAAGTGACAAGAGGAGTTCAAAATGCTCATCCAAAAATTTTCAAAAAAAAAATTACGGTAATCTTAAATGGGGCCCATTGGGTAAACTACAGATTGGTGTGCAAATTGAATAGGGAGGCCCAACTTATGCGATGTTTGATAAGCATATGCGCCCTTGTCCCGCGGTTTTGAAACAGAGCACATGAACCTGGAAAATTGATTGGTCCCCCGCCCAAATGTGCTTTTTATCTTATACTGTAAAGGCCCGTGGGCTATTCCATATTTAATGTTTGGGTG